TCTTGCGTCGCGCACTGCGTGCTCCGCGCCCACGGGGCAAACAAGCTTTCGACGTCGATGCCGACGCCGCCAGCGGGGACGCAGCGGCGCTCCAGGAGCCTCGGGAGGTCCGGGGCCTCTGTGTCTCGCGGCTCGGCCGGGTCATGCCAGAACCTGCGCGTGCCCGCTGCGTGGAATGGGCGCGCTGAACCGTGTCGACAGACCACCGTGCGGGAACGACCCTGCAGGTTACCAGGTGCTGGTAGACCTGGTGTTGGTGCTGGTCGAGCTGGTGTTGATGCTGGTCGAGCAGGTGTTGGTGCTGGGTGCTGGCGTTGGAGCTGGTCGAGCTGGTGTTCGTCGCGGTGCTGTTCGGAGTGCTGGTCGTGCTGCTGGTCGTTGTGCTGGTCGTTGTGCTGGTACTTCTGTTGGACGGGGTGCTGGTCGTGGTCCTTGTCGTGGTCTTGGTCGTTGTGCTGGTCGCTGTGCTGGTCGCTGTGCTGGTCGTGGTGCTGTTCGTGGCGCTGGTCGCTGTGCTGGTCGTGGTGTTTGTCGTCGCGCTGGTCGTGGCGCTGGTCTTTGTGCTGGTCGCTGTGTTAGTCGGAGTGCTGGCCGTTGTGTTGGTCGTTGTGCTGGTCGGACTGCTGGCCGTCGTGCTGGTTGGAGCGTCGAAGGCTCGCGCGTCTCCGCCACGCAGTCTGCACCCGCAACACAGCAGCCGCACGGTGCCCCGTAAAGTCCCCGGCCGCTTCGGCGAGAGGCGCGGAACGGCGTTGGGGCTCGTCTGGCAAGGCGCAGCGATCCTGGCGACGTGCGTCGCGCTGTGCGGCTCGGAGCGCCGGCGCGGAGAGGGCCGCAAACTCTCGTCTGACATGTCGGCAAGCCCGTGGTGTCTGCCCACGGCGGCGCGCAGGAGCGTCTCTCGGGCTGCAGGGCTGAACCATCCAGCGCGCCGAAGCGCCACGGGGCCGTGGTGATCGCTAATGCCTGTGTGGTGGCATGCTGCCGCATGAAGGCGGCGGCCCGCCAAGACAGCACGCTCGCGGGCCGTGGCCCCGCCGGGGGCCGCCATCAGTGCTCGGCATTGTTCCTCGGCCCGCAATCGCTGCATGGACTCGATCTGCAGACGCCCGCGCAAGGCCTCAACGTGCATGCGTCGCTGCCAACGTCGGAGGCGCGCGCGTGAGATGACGCAGCAAGGCGGGTGCACGCAGGCGTCGGCGCCGCAGCGCTTGACGTGTTGTTCTTGCTCGCCAGGTTGCTGGTCGTGGTGGTGACGGTCGAACAGCTGCTGCTGGTCGTGGTGCTGGTCGTGATGGTCGTGGTGCTGGTCGTGGTGCTGGTCGTGGTGCTGGTCGTGGTGCTGGTCGTTGTGCTGGTCGTAGCGTTGGTCGTTGTGGTCAATTTGCTGGTCGTCGCGCTGGTCGTTGTGCTGGTGGTGCTGCTGGTCGTGGTGCTGGTCGGAGTGCTGGTCGTGGCGCTGGTCGGGGTGCTGGTCGTGGTGCTGGTCGTAGTGCTGGTAGTTGCGCTGGTCGGAGTGTTGGTCGTGGTGCTGTTCGTGGTGCTGGTCGAGGTGCTGGTCGTTGAGCTCGTCTCTGTGCAGGTACTTATGCTGATCGTTGCGCTGGTGGTTGTGGTCGTTGTGCTGGTCGCTATGCTGGTCGCTGTGCTGGTCGTTGCGTTGGTCGTGGTGCTGTTCGTGGTGCTGGTCGGGGTGCTGGTCGTTGTGCTGGTCGTTGTGCTGGTAGTTGTGCTAGTCGTTGTGCTGGTCGTTGTGGTCGTGGTGCTGGTCGTGATGCTGGTTGTGGTGCTGGTCGTGGCGCTGGTCGTGGTGCTGGTCGGAATGCTGGTCGGGGTGTTGGTCGTGGCGCTGCTCGTTGTGGCGGTCGCTGTGCTGGTCGCTGTGCTGGTCGTGGTGCTGGTTGTGGTGCTGGTCGTGGCGCTGGTCGTTGCGCTGGTCGTTGTGCTGGTCGTTGTGGTGGTAGCTGTGTTGGTCGTGGCGCTGGTCGTGGTGCTGGTCGATGCGCTGGTCGTGGTGCTGGTCGGAGTGCTGGCCGCTGTGCTGGTCGGAGTGCTGGTCGTGGCGCTGGTCGTTGTGCTGGTCGTGGTGCTGGTCGTTGTGCTGGGCGTGATCCTGGTAGTTGCGCTGGTCGCTGTGCAGGCCGTTGTGCTGGTCGTTGTGCGGGTCGGAGTGCTGGTCGTTGCGCTGGTCGCTGTGCTGGTCGTTGTGGTCGGGGTGCTGGTCGCTGTGATGGTCGGTGCGCCGGTCGTGGTGCTGGTCGTTGTGCTGGTCGTGGTGTTCGTCGGGATGCTGGTCGTGGCGCTGTGCGTGGCGCTGGTCGGAGTGTTGGTCGTGGCGCTGGTCGTTGTGCTGGTCGGAGTGCTGGTCGTTGTGGTGGTCGTTGTGCTGGTCGGAGTGCTGGTCGTGGTGCTGATCGTTGTGCTGGTCGGAGTGCTGGTCGTTGTGCTGGTCGTTGTGCTGGTCGGAGTGGTGGTCGTGGCGCTGGTCGCTGTGCTGGTCGTTGTGCTGGTCGTTGTGCTGGTCGGAGTGCTGGCCGTTGTGCTGGTCGTTGTGCTGGTCGGGGTGTTGGTCGTGGCGCTGGTCGTGGTGCTGGTCGCGGTGGTGGCGCTGCAGTTTTGGGTGGCGCTGGTCATTCCCTACTCCTACCGTGCTGCCACTGCCGTCCACGCCTCCACTGCCGTCCCTCCCCACTCCTCTCACCGTGCTGCCACTGCCGTCCCTCTCGCCGTCCCGCACGATGAACGTGCTGATAAACGTGATGTCGTGCCTCGCGGGGTCTCTGTTGTTGTTACAGAACGTCATGCAGTACGTGCCCCACTGCTCCTTGGCGACAGGATCACTCCTTTGCATCTGCTTGATTTGGTCCACCCTGGCCCTTATCGGCTCGGGCGCCCTCCGCGGGGGAGGCAGGCGAGGCCGCCATCCGTGGGATAGGGGCTCGGCGCCGCTGGCCGCCGTCGTCGCGTCGGCAGCCGATGGCACCGCCGTAGCCATCCGTCTGGCGCCCCGCAGCCCCCAGGCTGCACCCGCGGGCGGCAGAGTGGCTTGAGCCAAAATGGCTACGGACCTGGTGGGGATACGCGAAGCGTCTAGAATACTAGAAACATCGTTCCCATACGATGTTAGAATATACTTTTGAATTTTCCTCCTTGAGAGGGACAGGCCCGACTTAACTCCAAGGCTTAAGTTGCTCCCATCGTACTTAAGGACCACATCCCAGAAACAATTTCGAGCACCCAGAAAAGTGTCGAAACAGTGTCGGGTGAGTGTCGCCCAGGGCCCGACACGTGGAAACCCTCGAGCTTCGGTACTTGTTTGATGCTCGAAATTCTATCTGGTGATCAAGGCTAAAGTAGGTTGGAACATCATAATCCAAGGCCGCAGCGCCGCCGCGGCCCGCAGCATCGCCGCCTAGCCTCCGCACCCTCGCCGCCGCCGCCGCCGCCGTCGCCGAGGGGCGGGCGCAGCGCCGGGCACACGGGCGACGGCGGCTCGGCGGCAGGGCTCTGGAAGCCGACCGCCGCGCGCAAAAGGGCCCTCCGCGGCGCCTCCTCCTCCTCCTCCTCCTCCTCCTCCTCCTCCTCCTCATCCGCCTCTTCCCCCTCCTCCCCCTATCGTCCTCCTCCTCCTCCTCCTCCTCCTCCTCCTCCTCCTCCTCATCCTCATTCCTCATCCTCATCCATCATCCTCATCCTCATCCTCATGCCTCAACCTCACTTCACATCATCATCAGCATCAGCATCAGCATCAGCATCAGCATCAGCATCACATCATCAAGCATCAGCATCAGTCAATCAAGATCAGCACAGCATCAGCATCAGCATCAGCATCAGCATCAGCATCAGCATCAGCATCAGCATCAGCATCAGCATCAGCATCAGCATCAGCATCAGCATCAGCATCATCATCATCATCATCATCATCATCATCATCATCATCATCATCATCATCAGCATCAGCATCTGCATCAGCATCAGCATCATCATCATCATCATCATCATCATCATCAGCATCATCATCATCATCATCATCATGCAACATCATCATCATCAATCATCATCATCATCATCATCATCATCATCATCCATCATCATCATCATGCATCATCCGCCTCTTCCCCCTCATCCCATCGTTCTCCTCCTCCTCCTCCTCCTCCCTCCTCCCCCCCACATCCTCCTTCCACCTCCTGCTCCTCCTCCTCCTCCTCCTCCTCCTCCTCGCTCTCCTCCCCTCCCCTCCTCCTCCTCCTCCTCCTCCTCCTCCCTCCTCCACCTCCTCTCCTCAGTCTCCTCCTTAAGCACCTCCTCCTCCTACTTCCTCCTCCTCCTCCTCTCCTGCCATACTGCTACCTCTCCTACCCAACTACCGCAGTCCCGCGGCCGCGTGCGCCGCGAGGAGGGCCCCGCGGGTCGCTCCCTCGGCGTGGCGCAAGCCTAAGCCGGCAGCAGTCGGCGTATGATCGCACCCCGCAGCGGCTGCGCGGCGAGTGCGCCGACGGCGCGGCCCCGCGGCGCGGGATGTTGTGCCAGGCGGATGTAGGAGGAGGAGGAGGAGGAGGAGGAGGAGGAGGAGGAGGAGGAGGAGGTGGAGGAGGAGGAGGAGGAGGAAGGACGAGAAGGAAAGGAGCATGAGCAGGAGCAGGGGCAGGGGCAGGAGGAGGAGAGGGAGGAGAGGAGGGGAGGAAGAGGAAGGAGGAGGAGCGTGAAGTGCTCCCGATGCTGAATACCATGAAGGGCGGAGGGGGAGAAGGAGGAGAAGGAGGAGGATGAAGAAAAGGGAGATCGAGGGAAAGAGAAGGAGGAGGAGGAGGAGAGAAGGAGGAGGAGGAGAGGAGGAGGAGGAGGAGGGGGAGGAGGGGGAAGGAGGAGGAGGAGGATGAGGAGGAGGAGGGAGGAGGAGGAGGACGAGAAGGAGGAGGGGGAGAAGGAGAAGGAGCAGGAGGAGGGGGAGGAGGAAGACGAGAGAGGAAAGGTAGTGGCGGCCCACAACCCGGTCTGTCCTGCAACACCTTCTCCAGGCCCTCACGGCCTATCGGCTCGTTCATGGGCATGCCCGTGTCGCGGTACACCTAGGCCAGTGTGGGGCCCCACCTCCTCCTCCTCCTCCTCCTCCTCCTCCTCCTCCTCCTCCTCCCATCCTCTCCTCCCCTTTGCTCTTCCTCCTCCTTTCTCTTCCCCCTCCCCCTGGTGGCTTCTGGGCTACAGCCCGGGCCTCCAGCGGCCGTTCGGGGCGATCTGGTCACCCCCTGAACGCCCTCGGCGGGGCCCAGCCGCTGGAAGGTACCCCGAGGCTGGAAAAACCTCCGAACCTCCGAGACGCCTCGAACCTCGAACTGGTCCCTCCTCCCCCTCCCTCCTCGTCCTCCTCCTCCTCCTCCTCCTCAAACCTCTGAGCCTTCTGTTTCGCCCTGCACCGGCCCGGGGCCGGCTGTCGTCGAGCAGAGGTCTCCCCGCCACCCTCCGCCCTCCGCCCAGCGGCCCCGCGAGGGGGGGGCCTTCTCCAGCAGCCCAGCGTCCCACTCGGCGATGAGCTTCTCGATCGTCGCCACCTCCCTACCAATCCTTCTTTCTTCCCTCCCCTCCCCCGCCGCCGCCCCCCCCCCCCCCCCCCCCCCCCCCCCCTCCTCCTCCTCCTCCTCCTCCTCCTCCTCCTCCTCCTCCTCCTCCTCCTCCTCGTTTGGGGAAGCGCGGTAAGGAAGGACGTGCGAATGGGAGCGGAAGGGGGACACGAGCGACGAGGAGCGGACAGGAAGGAAAGGGGCGAAGGGAGGCGACGTTTCCAGCTAGGCTTCGCTGGTTGTGCCATGCTCTTGGTGGTATGCCTGATGATGACATGCGCACGTGCTGGCAAGACAACGCGGCCTGGACAACCCCTTGGACAACCCCGCAAGGATCCAAACAACCCCCCCGGACAACCCCCCTTGGACAAGCCTCCCCATGATTTTCCGATTAGATGCAGTGAGGACCACATCCCAGACATGATTCCGAACACCCAGAAAGGTGTCGAAACAGCGGCTGCTCGACACGCTGGCGAAATGTCGAACGACCGTCGCCTCCAGTGTCGGTACTTTCCTGGTGTTCGAAACTCTTGTCGGAACATCATAACTCTACCACAGCTCACGGGAGAGGGCAGGGTCGAGGGCGAAGGGCAGAGGGAAGGGCGAGAGCAAGACTCATCGAAGGCTCAACGACTCCTGCCGCCCCCCCTGGACTCGCGCTGTGGCGTCCGCGATTGGCTCAAGAGTCCCCTAGATGTCTGTGAACTGACCTAGATTCATCCGCCCGCCGCCGACCCCTCGCGGGTCTGTAGGCGACTGATATCAAAGGCTCCCAACTTCGCGCTTCGCGCTGCGCGAAGCGCGAAGTGCGAATAACTTCGCGCTCTCGCGCCGCCTCCCAAAGGAGAAGAAGAGGATGAGGAGGAATCGGAGCCGAACCGCGAAGCGCGAATAACTTCGCGCCCGCGAGGGCGCCTTTGCTAAGGACCCCAGTCCGGCGATTCGAGCCCCCTCCCCCCTCCGCCCTTGCGCACCACTGGCCGAACTCGTCAAAGGGGGTCCGATCCTCAGGGCAGCTTCTGGGGCTCGACTGGAGAGAAGTTGTCAAGCCCTCAGGGAAAACATGGGAGGGGAGATCGCGGGCGGCGCGAGGCGCCGACAGGGGGCGCCCAGCGCAAATCCAAGAATCCCGCGCGGAACTCCAGCAATATATGCTCATCCCGTGTCTCCTCCGTCAAGAGACGGCTCCGAGACCGCTGCCCAAGACTCCTACTACGGCCCTGGCGCCAGAGCCTGCGATGGCCTGCACACGCCCGCAAGTCGGCGCTAGCACGCCCAAGGGAGTCCCCAGAACGATCCCCTGACCATCTCCGACCATCTCGGACTTTTCTCGAAACCATCGCCTTCAGAAATGCCCGGCTATTCCAGGACCTCTCTGGAACCCTGGGCCCCCTCGCTCTTCCCCCAACCTCCTCGTACTCCTCCTTCTCACCCCCTCCTCCTTCTCCTCCTCCCCACCCTTCTCATCCTCCTCCTCCTCCTCCTGTCCCCCCTCCTCCTCCCTCCTCCTCCCCCCTCCTCCCCTCCTCCTCCTCCTCCTCCTCCTCCTCCTCCTCTTCCCTCCTCCTAGTCCTCCTCCCTCCTCCTCCTCCTCCTCCTCCTCCTCCTCCTCCTCCTCCTCATCTCATCATCACATCATCATCATCATCATCATCCATCATCATCATCATCATCATCATCATCATCATCCATCATCATCATCATCATCATCATCATCATTTCCTGCCGCCACCCCTCGCAGCCTCCTCCTGCCCCTACTCCTCCCCCTCCCCCTCCCCTTCCCCTTACCTTTCCCCCTCTTTCTCTTTCTCCTCCTCCTCGTGCAACGGAGCGCGGTCGCAACGCTCGTTAGATGGATGGGTGCTGGCGCATCCCATGTGCACGGCACCTGTCATCTCCTCCTCCTCCTCCTCTTCCTCCTCCTCTTCCTCCTTCTCCTCCTCTTTCTCCAAGTCGTTTCTCCTCCTCCTCCTCTTCCTCCTCCTCCTCCTTCCTTCTCCTCCTCCTTCTTCACATGTTCCTTCTCCTCTTTTTCCTTATCCTGTTCCTCCTTCGCCTTCTCATCCTCCTCCTCCTCCTTTTCCTTTTCCTCCTCCTCATCCTCGTCCTCCCCCTCCAATGTGGTTATCGCATCAGCGCCGGGCAGAAACGTCTCAAAAGTCTACAATTGATTTAAGGATTCGTATGGTCGAAGTCCCAAGATTGGTGTCCTGTCACGGTCTAGGATTGTCAGGACGCAACAGTCACGTTCATACGCGGTGTTGAAATCCCAGGAATTGCGTTCTGCTGCAAGCGAGGATTGTCAGGACGCATCATTCACGTTGATTCGCGGTGCTGAAATCTCACGAACGGTGTTTTGGCACGATTGCGGATTCTCAGACGATTGTCTTCCAAGGGGCTACTTCCCCAATGCAAGTTACTGCTGTTAGGGATTTATGGACAAGGAATTTGGAGGAAGGGGTGATTGCAACATCGTTGATGCGTCTTGGGCTTGCACTGGTCCTCCTCCTCCTGCTCCTCCTGATCATGCTCATCAACATCATCAACATCATCAGCTGCATCAGCCTCTTCACCCCCCTCGCTCCTCCCCCTCGCTCTTCCTCCTCCTCCTCCTCGCCTACCGCTCCTCCTCCTCCTTCTCCTGTTCCTCCTCCTGATCCTCCTCCTCCTCCTCCTCCTCCTCCTCCTCCTCCTCCTCCTGCTGCTGCCGAATGCAATCCACTCCCCAACAAACTGCGCCCAATGCAACCCCCCAGGAACCGCTTCCCGGCAATCCTGGCCCGTGAACTTGGGTTTCTTGCCGGCGGCCAGTGCGTCGCGCGCGCGCGCCCGCACGCGCGCGGCTCACTCAGGTGCCGTTCGCGCCCGCTCGGTGCGCACCTGCACCCTGGAGATACAGTGGCGACACGCTTCTTTGGACGAGCAAGCTCGGGCGACCAGCGCTGCCGCAAGCGCCCGGAAGTTGCGCCCGACTCGGTCGGGCACCTTGGGGAGCTGCGCAATACGCCGCGCCGCCAGCGCCGCGAATTCGGATACGCTGCCCCCCGCGCAGCGCACATCAGGAGGCGCTACACGAACGTCACCATGGAGGGACAGACGCTACCCGCACGCAAACCCTAGATAGAGAGAGAGAGAGAGAGACGCTACCCGCAAGGAAATCTTGGAGACACCAGCGCTGCACGCACTGAACCTTGGAGTTGCAGAGTGTGTAGATCATCGCTTAGAATATGTTTGGCGGTGCTGTTTATAATATTGCGATTGACATCGATTATTGTACAACTTAAGAGTTTGCTGACGATATCGCTCATGATCTTGTTCGTGGGGCTGTTCGGTATCATGTTTAGGATGGTGTGTAAATCAACGTTTGGGACTTCGGTTCGGATCTTGTTTTGGATGGTGTTTATGAGAATGAGCTGGATGGTGTGTAGGAAGTTGTGTAGGGCACTGTTTGGGATATCGGTTCGGGTAGCGTTGACGATATTGTGTCGGAGGCCGTCTTTCATAGTGATCAGGATGAGCTCTAGAATTCGCCAGCCCAAAGGGCCAGAAGCGTGCCAAGATCTCTGATGACAGATGAACAGTATTTCTAGTTCGCGCGCGCGGGGCCGCCTCGGGGTGCCCCCGGACGAAAAGCACCCCGGCAGGTCCCTAGGCGGCCCCCGCGCGGTGCGGATCTGAGATGGTTTTCCTCCTGGGCGCAGCTTTCAGGCGCCTCAGAGCGCTCCAAGTGAACCCCAAGAGGCGCCCGACACGGTCCAAGAGGGCTCCGAGTCGTCGAACAATCCGTCCGAGACACCCAAGATGGCTTCCAGACGGCCCACGAGGCCTCCAAGACGCCCCAAGAGGCCTCCCCAAAGAGCCCCAAGAGGCAAACATCATTGATTTCCAATTGGTTTTTGATGAATCTTAGCGTTCTCGCCTTCTCAGCTTCCCGACGCTCCAAGACGGCCCACGACGCCCCCAAGACCATCCCAAGACAGCCCGAGAGGCCCCCAAGAGGGCCCCCCGACACGGTCCAAGAGGGCCCGAAAACAGGCCCAGAGGCGCCCAAGATCGCCCAAGAAACCCCCAAGACGGCCCCAACAGGGGCCCAAGAGGGGAAACACGAACTACCAATCCGAGCCTTGAGCCCCGCGAAGCCCCCAAGAAGCCCCAAGAGGCCCCCAAGAGAGCCCAGGAGCCCCACCGGAGGCCCCGCGAAGCCCCCAAGAGGCCCAAAAAGAGGCTCCAAGAGGCCCCCAAACGGCCCCAAGAGGCCACGAACGCGCAGGCAAGCGCCTGCGATGGCACAGTACGGGCCGGCGGAATGAGCGAAGCGATTAAAGAATGGTTGCGATCTGATACTGTTTACGGTAAACGTTGTTTAGGATATTGTTCACGGTCTTGTTCAGGATGCCAATGAGGGTATCAGTTTGCATACTGTTTGGAACATGTTTTCATGCTATGGTGCAGAAAGGTGTTGAGGAGATTCGTCCGGCTGCCAATGAGGATATTAGTTTACATGCTGCTTGGGACGTTTTGTAATGCTATGGTGCAGGGTGCTGTTGAGGATGTTGTTCGAGACATCGTTGAGGATAACGTTCAGGATGGTGCTTAGGACATTGCAAAGACTGTTGTTTAGGATGTTGGCTACTCTGGGTTTCTGAATAGGCGTGGGGGGGCCCCCCCGACGGGGGTCAACCTCGTCTCGTCGTCGCGCCGCGACGGGGGTCCGAGCCACTTCGGCGCGCGGTGGCTGCCCGCGACGGGGGTCAATGTGGGGCTGTCGGCGTGGGTGACGCCCCCACGACGCGTATGAAGGAACTCGGAGTAGGGTGTGGTTTCGGGTATTATCTTGGGTGTTGGGTATGGTTCGGATTAGGATGTCGTTTAGAAGATTGATCATCATGCTGGCTATTGTACGTGTTCGGCAATTTTTCAGCCTAGCATTGGGGGTATGCTCCGAGATCCTGTTCACTAGACTGTTGAAGAATAGTAGTGGTCGTCGCCGC